TCTCCTTCAATAGCGGATCTATTGTGTCCCGCTGCTGCATAGAAAGAGAAGAGTTCAGAATAGACACCTGCACCAACGTTTGCTTGGTTTTCTTTGTATGACCCATCAGTGAAGACTTGGAGCCATTGATCTCCAGGATAGTTGACAATGATTGTCTCAAGGGCCAGTGAGTGCATTTATTCTGGAGGAGAGTTTGATTTCCTGAAGTAGTCATGCAGTTGGGTGCAACACACTACATCAGTGTCTGTTAATGGGTTCATAGGTAGAGGGAGGCATTTTGGTTTGTTATGGACATGTAATGCTTTTTCAGTTCTAATGCTTTCTATATTAGACCAGATTGCGTTTTCAGATGTCTTGGTCTATTCTCATAGGTGCTGAAGAACGTATCCATGGGAATGCGCAATAGTTTCCCATAGAGGTCAAGGCGTTTTCTTTGGTATGGGAACATATCGTGGTGCTTCCTGTAACTAGGAGCATTGCATCAATGAGTGTTGATTTTATCCCTCCAGCAATTAGTCGTAATGTTTGGTTGTGTGCCTTCTCGAGTGGTTTTTGAATCACTTCTGTGGCTGTAATGAGTGGCTCACAGCAATACAACATTATTGGCTGAAAAACATCTTGCAAGTGGTGTTGAGAGTTGAGCGTGCACAGACCCATACGCTACCAGCAAGACGATTCAGTACATTCAGTCTATTGGAGACTCGATCTACTATTTTAGCAATGTGACTTTTCCACGTTAGCCTTGTGTCAAAAGTCATTTTCGCGGTGTTGATTACCATTCCATTGCTGTCGCACCAGTTTGCTAGTAGTTTAAGTGCACAATTTAGGGCACTTTTCGTCCTCTCCTGAGCGTTTTTCTTAGGGACAGAATGACATAGAACAAGATCATCTGCACAAAGTAAGCACTTGATGCCCTTGACTGTCTGAAATAATTCGGCTTGTGTAGCTCCCTGTGGAAGGCCAGATTGTAAAAGTTTGGATTCTGATAGAGCATTTCCATATCTGACTTTACATAATCGCATTTTGATAGAGCATTAAGATATCTGACTTTACATGATCTTTGTACAATGTTTTATCCAAGCTTAGCATCTTATGCTTAATACCAATCTTTGCCAATTTTAGAATTAGCTTCTCTATCGGTCATATGCTGATTTGAAGTCGACGAAAACAGCCGTAAGAAGAATTAGCTTCTCTTTCCATACTAAGTCATATGCTGACTGAGCCGTAAGGGTATTTCTTGCATCAATGTTGGGAGAAAGTGGCCTTTGTTGATCTTTGTGGCCTAAAACCTGCTTGTTCACTCCACAGGATATTGTGTTGGTCTCAAGGAACCAGGTCAGCCTCCTGTTAACCATTCCTTCCATAAGTTAAGCCCCAGGTCAGTTCCTGTTAACCATTCTTTCCATAAGTTTAGCCAGCACGCTTGTCAGATAGGCCTATAGTTGTCAAAGTTGCTAGGGTCTTTGTCATTTCTTAGTGCTGGCATTACTATGGCAACTTTCCATTGGTTAGGTACGAGACTGGTCTCCCAGAATTTGTTGAAAAGCGTCAGCATGGTTTCCCTGGCTTTGGGTCCCATTCTAATTAGAAATTCTGGATGAATACCGTCTTCGCCAGGAGACTTCTTGCACTTGAGCTGTTTTATCGCAGCATTAAGTTCGCAAGGTCCGAATGGTTCAGTAAGAACATTATTTGGTGTTGCTATGTCTTCCTTAATTTCACCAAACTGTCTTACTTGTATCTTTGTAACTCTTGAAGATTTTCTGACAAAAGGGTTTTTCTTTTGCTTGTGAGAATAGAACCTCGCAAAGTAGTTAGCTATTTCGGAGCCGGTGGTAAGCAGTTTGTTTTGTAAACGTATTGGTTCTTTCTTGGGTCTTTCTCTGTTGTTTTTGAGGTTACCCAGGAATTTGAAAGTGCGTTGGCTTTCACTTTGATAGTTGATATTTGAGATGAACTTGTCGAAGGAAGTCAGTTTGGCCTGTAAGATGGCTTGCCTTAGGACAGCTGACTGCCGTCTCCAGGCTTATACGTCTTCCGTTCTTCCAGTCTGATCAGCAGTGTTGCGAAGGATGTCCCTCTTTCTTTTCAGTTCCTCAAGGTGTTTAGACCAAAATACTCGATAATGTTTAGTCTTGCCTCGGGGAATCGTTTTCTTTGCATATCTAATCATAATATTCGTGATGTCATTGCAAAGTTTGTCAGGATGTTGGTTGAAGTTGAGGGGACTTGTGTGAATTTCATTGCCAAAAGGGTTTGTGAATCTAGGCCAGTCAGCCTTCTTGAAGTTCCATGATAGCTTGGTTGGCACTATCTATGTCATGCCTTTGCTGCCGATGGTAATACTAGCAATGACTAGTTTGTGACCAGAACCAGGATCATCAATTATTTTGCGGCGTGTATGCTCACTGATGTCGCTTGAAGCCAAGAGTAAATCAGGAGTTGTTCTGGTTCCATTTTAGTGCAAATATATAGCCGGATCCTCATTGCTGTAAATAAGTTCCAGAGGGTTGCTGCTTAGCATGTCTTCGATTTCCTTTCCAGCTATGTTTGTATCCTTGTAGCCCCATGTGGTGGAATGAGCGTTGAAGTCTCCTAATACTACAGTTTTGTGTGAGATGTTCAGAAAGCCAACGTTGGGACAATTGTGGGGTGGATTAGAGACTGCATATATCTTGAAGTGGTTTTGACATTTCCAAACATTTAATCTGATTATTTCACATTTGATTGTGTCGGGCCCATACTCTTGATTAGATCGTAATGTGAGGTGAGGCCTTCTTTTACCCCAGTCAGAATTCCACTTGCAACTTGCCGGTATTTAAGTAGAAGGTACAGGGTGTAACCTGGGAATTGGTAGTACTTCAGTTTGTCATCCGAAATGTTAGCTTCCATAATTGTGAAAATGTCTACATCATAGGTTTGTAGGATTTTCTGTACTTGGATCTTTTTGTCCGTTGACATTCCTCCAGCATTCCACTAGAGGATCTGAAGACGTTGTGATTCGCCTTGACGAGGGCGATTTTTCTTATAGCCTTTTTTTAAAGCTAATCATAATAAATCGAAGTCAAAAACGAATGCCGAGTGATAGACTTTTTTACCGTACGAAGATACGTTGTCCAGGGTGCACCACGTAGAGGTAAGTCTATCGCGCACCCCAGAATGGAATATAAATAGCCTAAGGAGTGACTGGGACAAGATTGCAAAGATTCCTTAACAAGCCTTCCTCCTAAAGTCCCTTGAAAAGAAAACCATCCGCTTACAAATAAACTCATCAACACTAAACCTATTTTCAATGAAAAAACTCTGCTTCGGTAGTGAAGAAACACGCACCGTGACATCTGATAATTAAAATTGCCTGCCGATTCCATAACTTATTTTACACCAATGGATCATTGACAAGATTATCACGTGCCCACTACATCACCAGATAGACACTTACTCAATAACTTGGAGAAAGCGGTTCCAGCTCCAGAAATGACACCTGATATGTTGTTCAAAAGATGTGATCCAATGTCGCCGTCTTCATACTCATCACCATCGCCTTCTCGATCCACCTTCCGGTGATCAACTTCCGCGGTAGGTTTATCTAAATCCGAGAATAGGCAAAGGTATGTTTAAGTTAAAAGCATTCATTTCACCGGCCAGAAATAAATGCAAGTTCTTACCTTCGCCTTTAGAACCCCATGGAAAGGAGCCCTTTCTGAATAAATTAGATATTTTTACTTCCGTCAAGGGCTTGACACCTCCATTTGTCGTTGGCTTAACATTCTCTGGATTACTTCCCACTGATGGTCTAAAATTTTATAAAAATGAAAATCAATTTTTCAAGACTGTGTTAACTTTCAATTTCAATTAGTGAGAATAAACAATTAAGGAACGGAGGTTATGAAGGTGATTCACAAATAAATTAAACAATTAACTTAACTGATCGTGGATTTTAAACTAAACCATCGGTGGTAATGAAAAAAAGCATTTGACCATTAATATAGATGGAAAAGATAAAGAAAATAGGTGGGAATTTTGTAAAAAACAAACAAGAATTTTAGAACTTATAAATCAAATTTTGAACTAGATATATACTTATGCCTGAGCCAAAGAAGTATGATGATTTTAAACGGTGCTCGCATGTCCTGCCGTTCAATCTCACGAGACTTTGAACGAATGGAGTGAGAAACAATGCCTCATTTCATAGGAAAGAATGAAACCCCTACACTGAAGCAGAGATCATAGGAACTTAAGAACGTTGTGATAAAAAAATACTCTTAACAATCTATTGATCCTTCTAAAGCTGAAATGCTTGATTGAATTATGGACAAAACTATCATAAAGCTATCATGAGATCTGTGCAAACAGCCAGAAGGTGTGAGGGGAAGAGAAGTCAATGGAAGAACAGGAAATAAGCCTCGTCAGGTTGAGTTACGATAAGTATACTTGATGTCCATTATTAATATTGGAATAATAAATAAAGCAGTCACATGATTGCTGAACAGGGGTCACCCTACCTAGTACATATATATATTAGGTTGGCAACTAAGTCATTGCCGATTTCAAATAAGAAGGCAAATTCGGAATTTTTGTTTAAAAATATAACTTTATTCAATTAGATATTGGCCGTTCTTGTCGATGACCTTTTTCCATCGTTCTGGCAGAGTAAAAATTCCCCGTTCGTAAAATGTCTGGTCTTTGCTATTAAAAAACTGAATTAGGTGTGATCCGACATCATCCGCGTTGTTAACAATTTTACCATTTAAAGAGTTTTGCATGGAACGAAACAAATGGTAATCCGAAGGCGCAAGGTGGGGCCTATATGGTGGGTGTGACAAGACATCCCAACCCAGTTCCAATCATTTTTGTCGAGTAACCAAAGATGTGTGGGGCCTTGCGTTATCATGATGGAAAACAACACCCTTCCGCCGATTTGATAATGCCGGCCGCTTATCTTCAATTGCATCCTTCAGTTTTTCGAGTTGTTCAACATACACATTTGAATTTATCGTTTGGTTCTGCGGCATAAGTTCAAAATACAAAATTCCTTTGTCATCCCACCAGACTGACAGCATAATCATTTTTTGGTGAATCTCTGCTTTTCATACTGTTTGGGCTGGTTGATCTTGCTTCACCCATGGTCTCTTGCGAGTAACATTGTTATAAACTATCCACTTTTCGTCGCCAGTAACTAGGTTCTTCAGAAATGGATCATTCTCATTGCGTTTCAGTAGCGGCGAATCACAGATGCTAATCCTTTGCGTCAAATGAATTTCCTTTAACTGGTGAGGGATCCATAAATCAAGTTTCTTGACATAACCAAAGGTTTTTAATTTTTTTTCAATGCATGTATGCGACACATTGAGCTTCTCTGCAATATATATATACTCTAATTATTTCAAAGCCTTGTACCACCTGTTCATCCTGCTTTATAGCCCTGTTCAGCCTCTAAGTAGAGTGCTTGCTTACTGAATAAAACTTTCACTCAAATCGTCGAAGGGTACAAACGAAAACCCTTAAATAAAACTAATAAAAACAGTACCCCCCACCCACCCACCCCCACACTCCAAAATTAAAACATGAAAGCAATCCATCCACTCGCTTGACGATCATAGCATGCTTCAATTTATAAATAAACTGACGACGTTACTAGTAAATGACGGCACTAAGAACACTTTCAAAAGATGGAAAGTCAATTCTCAGAGGGAGGATAACTCAAGGAAATTAAAAAAGGGATAAAAAAAATACGTTTGCAAAATAGATACTTACGAATTTTCCAGAGTATCCTAAAACAGCAAACGATCCAATAATTAATTATGACTAGATTAAAACTCTCAGGTTGAACAGCAATGATAAATATACCTTAGTGATTGGGTTATCTGGCTTTTCTGAGTTCAGATTCATAGTTTCTTTGAGATCCCAGATATCCGCATCGTCCTTAAATAATAGAAACAGCCTGTACAATAATGATCACATTGCTTGCAGTGAAGGCAATATAACGAATGGCCCTACTTGATCAGTATCCCCTTCGCTTTCAGAATCAGCTGAAGATAATGCGTCATCATGAAGATCCTCGCTAATTTGGAGGGTAGAACTATGATTCACCGGTGAACGACTATCGTTCTTCCCTGTGTCACGCGCGCGTTCTCTGATAGCCTTGGCAAAACCTATAGCTTCGTTCACGCTTCTTGGTGCCACGAAAAATTCACGATAGTCCACAAGATGGTTGTGATCCGCCGAAGCTTGACCAAGTACACCTATCGAGCGGCACGAAACAAGAGTTTCACACTGATACTATGATACTTACGGCACTAAGTTAACCACCTCAAACCTTTCGATGATCACACGTTCACAACTACCCAAACCCCTAAACTACCAGAGACTTAGTGGCCTGAAGTCTGATGTTAGGAGAGTAATTGAGAGGGTCTGCTCAGATAAGGTGTGAAATAATGGACCGCAATCAATCAGTTCGTGCGGGCCAAAGTGAATTGAATAAACGACGATGGGGACTTGAGAAGGGCACAGGAGAGGAAAGAATAGGGAGTATATGAGCAGATAACTGAAAAAACGTGTGTCTGCACGGATGAGAGTGGGAATAAAAAAAGAAGGTCCACTTGATTCACTTGAACAAGAGTACACAAGTGTGGGTGTACTTTTAAGTTAAACAGGGGAGTTTTATGAAAAAAGAAAATCTACAAACTCGCCTAGACCCAGCAGATAGAGGTTTGAGTGGATGAAGAACTAAAGTGCTTTCATAGAGAATGTCATTATAGAATACTTTTGAAGCAAGTAGGGAGTTATCCTCGAATTCGGAAAAATAGCTGTAAATATGATAACTGACATTTTAATCCCAATATTAAGGTAAGCATTAAACGTTTTACAGATATTTCACCCCTTTGCATCTAGATAAAGATTACATTAATTTTTAACTTCCCAGTAGCTTGTGAGCATCAAAGACATGAACACCCATATAGTAACCCAAGAGTTAATTCAATAACACTGTAATATTTCAGGAAACGGTAAAGAAAAAATATCATAGAAAGTGATTAACCTATGAATTTAAAATGACTTTTAATATCATTTATTTATTTCAAATGGCAGGCGTTATGATAGTTATCATCAGCCCTTTAGTTGACTTCTGGCCTTACTGAGAGGGGGACAGAATAATGATTCACATATGTAAAAGAGACAGACACAAAAGCAGAGAAAAGGTAAGATGAGTTCTGTGGAAGTGGTCGAATATGACATACAGTGGGGTGATGGTAGTTTGAAGTGAGAAGTCAACTGCCGATTAATTGACTTTTTGCCGCATGAGTATACGTTGCACACCCCACGTTTAATATCATTATTTCAACAACTACCTCTACTAAACTTCGAATTTAATTTCTGAATGGATTATGCTAGGAATTCCGGGCTCAGCTATTGTCAAGTTACTGAAGCTTGCCGTGATGAAAGCATGATTTATTCGTGCTTAACGATCGAATACCATTCGAGATAGTTGACTGTACGATCACTTAGCGAGGGAGTTGGGAGTGCCTAATAACTTCAATTAACAAGGAAGCGCGCGCATTTGGAGAAAAGTTTGGGAAATGGTTTTTGCGTTTGTAAAGTGTGTTTAACTAAGCACGCTGTAGCTGATATTGAAGTGGGGACATAAATCTAGGCAGAACGTCCAAATTTCAAGACCACTTCAAATGAAGAAAGCAGCCTCAATTGAAGAAATAACCTCGTAACCGTACACTAGAGATATAAAGTATGTGGAAGAGGCAACCGTCAACCGTACCATAGTGCAAATAAGCGGAAACCACTTACCGATTTGGCGGAGATAATTAATATTTATTTTCTCTCGAATCCAAGGTTCCAGTGGTACATTTTCCACGGCCCATGGATCTAGAATTAGAAATTAAAGGACATTTTCAATAAAAAGCCTCTTTTGTGCTTCAAGCAGCCAGATATACAACAATCTACTATTTCCGTTTATTGTTTATAGTTTACATTAGCGTTCAATGATGAACTGTTTATCTACAATAGGCCAGCAATGTCTTGCTGCCTCATGTGTTAACTTTGAATTCAGTTAAAAGGAAGCATCACTGATTACTTTGAACAGAGAATTATTATTCTTGATTCCCAGGACCACTCGAACTACCAGTTTCTTCAACTAATAGACTTCATAACCAGCGTTAATCAGCAGGGGTGTGCGATAGACTTATCTCCACGTGGTGCACCCTGGGCAACGTATACTCATACGGCAAAAAAGTCTATAAACTGGCAGTTGACTTCTGACTTCAAACTACCACGACCCCCCTGGTTGTCATATTCCACCACTTCCACACTATTCACCTCACCTTTTTTTCTACCTTTGTGTCCGTCTGTCTGTCTGTCTCTTTTACGTCTGTGAATCATTATTCTGTCCCCCTCTCGACTTTTGCCACTTTGATGTTCCTCTTCCTTTCAATGAAGCCCGAAGTCAACTAAAGGGCTAATGATACCTATCATAACACCTGCCATTTGAAATAAATAAATTATTCTTGACTCCCAGGACCACTCGAACTACCAGTTTCTTCCACTAATAGACTTCACAACGAATAGTTTACTAAGGAAATTATTACGTGAGATAAAACTCCAATATTTATACCATCCTCCTCATGGGTATAAGACCCGCAACATGCACCGTAAAAGTTCCTCAATGCAAATATTAATATCAACAACAGTCTTATCTTGAAGGATAGAGGTACTGATAGTAGCTTTGCAATAATATACACTTACTTCGATTTTTGCAACATCCGAGATGAATTAGACATTTATCCATATCATCGTAAACTTTGAAGTCAATCGCAACCAGTTCTGAACAGAACCACTTCGGTTTATCTCCAATCAACTGCGGATCGAAGATACCAGCGTGAATACGCTGAAATACCTCATTCTCTGGATAGAGACACCATTCGGATAAATATTCAACGGCCTAAAGAGAGATTGAAAAAAAGATAAAATCGAAAGGATGCTGTGCACATTACGCCCGGAAAGGATGGATTCAAAATATGTCAGGGCGAACGCATAGTGCATAACTAAATCAGCATTAAAAGTCATCAATCTCTTCTTCGCTGAATTGAACTGGCAAAACGTGGGCGATCATTATAAATTACTCTCTTTTTTTAGAAATTATGACACAATACGGTAGAGGCACGCGTAAGCACTTCAAAATTTCCAAAGCTTGCATATTTAGCTGGAAAAAATTGAGTATTCTATATATATCCTTGGAATAGTAGTGTAACCCACATCAAGGCAAAAAAAATTTAAAAATTGTTGTTGGGGGATAGATGGATCAGTTAGAGATTAGAGCAAATGAATGGAAAAGAATATTAAGAATAACCGTAAGTAAGTAAAGAGTTGTATTTCAGAAAAAATTTTGGAATTGAATTGCTCAGCACTAACATAATGGCTAGTTTCATTGCAAAATTCGAGGATCACATAATGTCTCAAGGACATCGGAGCGAATTTCTTTTCTCCAATATTCAGCGCTTATTAGCCAAGTTTTAGTGACCATTCGACTCTCCAACTTACCTCAATTTTTTTCTTTCAAAGGTTGAGAAGGAGGCGCTAAGATTAACAACAAGTAATTACATATGAAATTTTCATATACGATCCCTAAAATGATCAAAGTGTACAAAATTAAGTATTGGGGGCAAGATATTTGACTGCCTTTAACTAAAATTACGATTAAAGCAATCTCCCTAATTAGTGGGTAGAGGACTCAAGGCGAAGGAGGAAAAGTAGTTGTAGTAAATGCAAGGACAGGTACCTGTGTTTTGGCAAGCTTTTGAGTGAATGGGTAGATAGCTGGTCGAGATCGCATGAAGGAGAGGTATTGGAAGGTGACAACTGGCTGGGGGAATAGACGCAGAGTACGAGTGTGTTCGGTGAAATCAGCCAGAATTCCGGGAGAGTTGAGGAAACGCACCTTCAAATGAATCAATGCATAAGGCGTAAGGAGCATGCATAACAAATAAGGTAAATATTAGTGATGTCGAAAGCAAAAAAGGGGTTTTTTCAGTTTCAAAAAACTATGCTATCGTTCCAGTTAGTTAATGTGCATTAATAAATAACTCTATTTAAGGATAACTAACTGCTAGTGGTTAATTACTAAATTTATGTACAAATAGAAGTGAAATGGGTGGGCCGTCTTTATAAACCAAGGTGGTCCATGATTATAACCTCAATCGCAAGTCGAAATGGTCATAACCACTCGATAATATTACACGATTTGCATGAGTACCTCCTCCCTGATAACCAGTGTCTAAAGACTGCCAATACTATCAGGAAGCCCAAATATAGATGGCCAAGAACACCAGAGATATGTGGACTTCCTTTTATTCGAGTTCAAACTACTGTATTCCATTACATGTCTTTTGATTTTCTGTAGTTAACTACCATTCTATTCAGGACACCTACACAAGGAGAGAAATTTGATGGAGCAAAAGTGCTCCTCTCGATTTAATCACAAAAATACACATGCCAAAGGCAATTCATTCCCACTGACAATAAAGACATTGATTCCCCCCAGTTCAATTTACCAGATTAATTTTTTTGTAAATATGGCTTGAACTAATACAAAATATATTTTGAAAGAGAGGAAATATTATTTGTGGAGCTATAATAATCGAATAAATTTTACATAATAATAACTAATCTTAATTGATCCAAAGAGTTTCTTTGACAACCACTCATCTTATCACTATAGCCGAAATAAAGGAGAAAATCTTAGTAGAAATATACTTCCAGATAGCTAAAAGCCATTTGATCAGCCTTTCCTTTCTAGAAGAAACACCTAATTCCAGAAATATATAAAAGGTAAAAGGTTCTTTGAATTTATTGCCACAAGCAATTAGCCTAACGTGGATAAGCTAAGTGTTCCATAATTAAAACAATTGCTCTCTTCATTTGTGAAGCCTCTACATAATTTTAATACAAATTACCTTATAAAAAGACGTTTATGGTGAATTAATAAATCGACAAAGTACAGACAATTAGTTTAACAAAACATGACTGCAAGCATACCATGGCAACACGAGTTGCAACATCTATGATATCCACATCAACAGGAATCGGATGATCTGAGATGACGGCAGAATCTGGCCCTCCAGTTTCGGGATTCTCCAGACCCAACCGTTGAGGTCGTGTAATTACATCCACAACTCCACCCGGCGACAGACAACTTCCCTTATTCATCAGCTCCAGAGCCTTTAAACCAAAAAAAGTACGAAAACATGATGCATTTAAAGGTAAGAGTTTAGTGTCAGCAAAAATTCATCAAGATGTGCATTTAAAGAATTGTTGGAAAATACAATCATAGGAACCAAGAGCTGTTGACATTAACATACCTTCAGTAACTGAGTACAGAGGTTGTTTTTCTCCTGAGTTGGGAAATCGGGTAACTTAGGGAGTGCATCTCCATAGGTAAGCTGTAAAGATAAAATTGTCTTTATGATAAATATGAGTGGCAAATAGACATGTCTTAACCAATAAAAATATGAGACCTATATACAGATATCTCCGGTTAAGCTATATCAGAAAGTGTTTAGTAAGTAGGAAACGTCGCAGAAACCGTGTATATGAGCATTAACTTATGGGCACTGCTTAAATATGCATATGTGCAGTAGCCAACGCCCACAACACCCAAGTTAGAGGCTACGAAATCAACGCTCGCCTTGCAAACCCAGAATAATGAGGCATTGGCAAAACACGAGGTTCCCTTAAGAGGGCCTCCGGGAACCTGGCTCTTTACCCACAACATGTGTTGTGAGGGCTCTGCCTGGCAAGCCAGGTATGAGATAATTATATTTTAATGTGGGGTGTGTGATAGACTTACCTCCACGTGGTGCACCCTGGGCAACGTATATTCATACGGTAGAAAAGTCTATTGACTGGCAGTTGACTTCTCACTTCAAACTACCATCACCTCACTCTATGCCATATTCGACTATTTCCACAGTACTCACCTCACCTTTGTTCTACCTTTGTGTTTATCTCTTACATCTTTGAAACACTCTTCTGTTTCCCCCTCTCTCGATTTTTTTCAATTTGATGTTCCTTCCTCTCTGTGAAGCCTGAAGTCAACTAAAGGGCTAATGATAACCATCAAGACGCCTGCCATTTGATGTAAATAAATATATTTTAAGGTCAAGAGAAGAAGTGAC